AAGCTAAAGCTATATATTAAAATGAGCCTCACTTAGAATACTCTCATAAAAGTTTTTTTTCTCTGCTTGTTCCTCCACTCCCCCACCCTCGTACTTGTACATACAGTACATGGCAGAGGTGAGTACACCCCTGTTCAATATCACTTAAATGTTATGTGATTCAAAATTTTATCACCTTACAGTAAATGCATTACCTCTAAGTTAAGCATTAGGATATTTGAGCTCAATGGAACAAAAGTTCATTATTTTTTTAAATTTATTTGTTTAATAGGTGGTATGTGCGAATTTTTCACTAATCGCAAAGTTGCCGCTTCAATACCGCGCCTCTCCATATGTGGAAGTGTCCTTGGGAAGACACTAATCCTGAAGTTGCAACCGATGGCAGGCAGTCATCTTGCATGGAGCTCTGTCGCCATGGGTGTGTGAATGTGTGTGCGAATGATAAACACACTGTAAGCACATTTACCATTTATGATGACAGACTTGGTTCTCTTCAGTATGTAGAATACCAAACTTCCAGAGAGATGTTGTGCCATTGTTCAGAGAGGATTGTTTCTAGTTGTTTTTTGTAGGAGAGGTTGTGTTGCTCTACCTTTCTCTTTGAAATCGTCCAAAGGTGTTATAGCCAGGTCAAAGTTTACACTTTTTTCTTCTTAAGAGTATTTATTAAATTGAGCCTCTCTTAGAATACACTCCTCTGTCTCATAAAAGAACAGTTTCTGCTCTCTGCTTGTTCCTTCACTCCCCCACCTTCGTCCCTGTGCTGAAGCGCATCCTCGTGTCATGTGGTCCTGTTGGAAACATTGACGTTTAAACACATGCTTTGCTGCAAGATAGTAAGAGCAGACTCTAATGATAAGTTTAAAATGGAAACATCTAACACAGGCCACAGAAATGGGCTCTATAAACCATATTATTAGGAAGCAATCTTACCACTGCGGAAAAGAGCTGACAAGTGTTTTTATCCAAATGTGCAACACATGGAGTTCACATACAGCTTCTTGTGGTCAAAGATTCACTAAAAGAAGGCCTGTGCTTCTCCTGGCCAAGAAAAGAAATACTAATATACAGTACAAGCTTGACTCGTAGTACTGTCATTGTGTTGCACATGTTGCTTTTTCTGCAAAATCTTCTGAAATTAGTTAAATTTGATTTAATAAATTAAAATATTTTACAACAATACATTTGACTATGTCAGACTTTAGAATAAAATTTAATCATAGTACATTGGTGAGGAATCTGAACAAAACATGTAGGAAACATTGGGAAAAATATTAACAACCATACAGCTCCAGTCTTGCTGGTTTGTACTGGTTTCAGCTGGACTACTGACAGTAAGGTGGAGTGTGATCTAGAAACATAAGAGAACTCCTTAAATCTTCTCTTTTGTATTAAAACAAAGTTATGAAGTGAAATAGGTGAGTTAATTGTTATTTTGATAATTTGTCAAATTATTAAACAAATTAACAACATAGCACCTGTATTTCAATTCCAATATCTTAGAAGTGCTTCGTTTTTTTCCCCCAAGTACTGCTCACCAGGAACCGCACACCTGCAGTGTATTTTAAAAACCAACTTTCCACTCCTAGAGATTCATTTTAATGTATTTAGATTTGTGTAATATAAATCCCAACATACAGTACACAGCAGCAGTGTTCTAATGTTAAGACAAAAACTAAAAAATTTAATTTATTATAGAAATAATCCAGTCGTCACAGTTGAAACTTCATGGAACAAAAGTTCAAAATTTCCTAAACTTATTTTTTCAATAGGTTATATATCTACTTTTAATCCTCCTTCATAAAGAGAATACCAACTCTCTGGATAGATATTTTGCCTTTGAGACTGATTGTTTCCAGTTATCATCATGCTGGGATATCTTTCTTCTGTTGACTATCTGCATATTGGGAGCGAATTTGTTTGCCACTATTTCAGTATATCTGCAAGAATTCATGGTACCGTCTATAAATGTCATTTCCTCAACACCTTTTGCAGTCAAGTAGCCCCATATTATCACACCTCCATGCTTCACTGATGGGACTGTACTTACACTCACTACAGTAGTCTCAGTCAGGTTCACATCTAACATGATGGATCCCATCTGAGCCAAAAAATGTATCTTGGTCTCATCTGACCAAAGAATGTGCTCCCAATATTCATTAGGCTCGTTTCTTGTACTTTAGCAACATTTTGTCTTGCAGTTTTGTGCCAGAGAGCACATTTATTTTATTGAACGCTGTCCATAGAGGTTAATGACGTGTCATAATAACTCTGATAGCCCCTGTATTAACTCTAAAACACTTGCTTGTTTGTTTTTTAAGGCTACGTGATGCAAGTGGTTTTAGGAGGACACTGATGCACCTCTGATTCGTGGTACTATGGCTTATTCTATACTTCCTGAAAATGGTTGGAATGGGCTTTGACAGAGTTTTGGATGGTTGGTACTCTTTCTGTGTCCTTTCCAATCTTTGTGAAGTCCCAGAGACACTTCTGTTCCCCTTTTTATTCTCTTCCACGTGGAGCCATGATGCATACTTGCAGATAGACACAGCCCATGGGTCCAAGCTGAGACAGTTCTGCTCTTCACAGGTCATTTTACAACCACCGTTTATGCATTTAGGCTAATTTGAAGACAACTGTGGAATTAGTTTTGTTTCAGGACACAAGTTTTCTAACTTGCAGATAGACACAGCCCACAGGAAACGTGATGCAGATGCATTTTTGAAAAAACAAACAAACAAACAAAAAAAACGTATGTACTAATGACTAAAATCATGTGACCACTGTGCTCTTAAATTTCAAACTGCTTTTACTGCAACTATAAGGAGAGGTGTTCAATGTGATGCAAACTATCGCTTTGCAATATTTATGTAAAGAGTTTTGCAATGTTTGTTGATTCATCCAAAACCTCTAAGCTGTTGTAGCAAACTAGCAACAGTTTCTCTAGTGTTTGAACATATTTTCGTTAGAGTCATATAACTTCAAGATAATCATGAGTGAATAAATTCTGAATTTGTCTTTGCCTCAGTTAGGACTTGTGTCTGGGCATTTAGTTTGTATGCCATTGTTGCACCTCTAAAATGTATTTACTTTTCCGTGTGAACACATTTGTTTTGTTATTACAACTACAGCTAACAAGTCTTAATCATTTACATGATAGCCTATTGATAGAATTGAGCTCTTTGCACCTGGTGGAGACTTGGACTTCAGTGTTTCTGAAATATTGCCTATGTCACAGCTTTTTAGGCTTAAGTAATGCATTTGGTGTCTGAAAAGACAACACGGACGTTAATACTATGGAAAACATTTAAGTTACAGACAGTTTTATTGTTGTTTTGTATGTGGATTAGAGGTTATAAAAAGGAATGTTTTTATGTTTATACCACCAGCTCTGCTTTATCTAACAGGATGGACAACAGGAAGCTGGATAACACTGAGAACGTGAGTGACTGGGAGCCTCCTCTACATCGGGGACCTCACGTCCACAGGAGGTTGACTAGGCAGGTCCCCCAGAAAGGAGCCTTCCAGACAGCATCAGAGATGGTACCTAGGGAGGCAGGATCTGAGAGGTTATTGGGTGGTGGTGTGGACAGGATGTTAGTAGACCAGATGTTAGCCGACACATTGGATAAATGCCCCTGGTGGCTGGAAACTGATCGTACCAACTCTAATGGCCTGTGGAGTTGACTTCAAACTAGCAGGTTGGCAGCAGACTAATTCTGGAGCTAGTGGGGAAATTGTAGACTGGGCAACTAGCTGAATGTGGAGCAGGCATAAAACTAGTGGACACTGGATAGCAA